TGATGATGGTTGCATACTCTGTGAATATCCCAAAGACCATTGAATTGTACACTATAAACGGATGAATTATAGGATATGTAAATAATATGTTAACAAAGCTGTTAAATAGCTATTTGTCCTTACAGTGTGACATTTTCATCTTTTTTCAAACTGCCTGTTTCTCCTGAGTTAATGGCATCTGTGAAACAGGAAAACTGTTCTTTTAAAAAGTCTATCAATTATCTTTAATTACACAAAACCCTCCAGAAGAAGTCATATTGTTTCTATCTTAACTGTTTTGTTTGTAATTTCTGTATATAACTTGAATCCCTTGGAAAAGATGACATAAATTTATTTTAAAACCCTTCACTATTGGGGCCAGGTGCAGTGGCTCATGCCTGTAATCCCAGCACTTTGGGAGGCCAAGACAGGAGGATCACTTGAGCTCAGGAGTTCAAGATCAGCCGGAGCAACAAAGTGAAACTCCATCTCTACAAAGAAATAAAAATACAAAAATTAACCGTGCATAGTGGTACACACCTGTAGTCCCAGCTTGCTTGGGAGGCTGAGGCAGGAGGATCTCTTAAACCTGAGAATTTGAGGCTGCAGTGAGTTGCACACTACTGCACCCCAGCCTGGGTGACAGGGCAAGATCCTGTCTGAAAAAAAAATAAAACCCTTCATTGTTGATGGTATGGCATCATTTATAACTGAATTTAATAGTTCTCTTTTTCCACAGATGGGACTGCACAACTCAGGTGCCCATTGCATAAGTTGGTAGTTGTACAAATCTTGAGACAGAGGCTGAGAATATGGTGAAATAACAGGTCATAAACAAACACATAGGAATGTGCTGCCAGCCCTTTAAATGGTGTGAGAGGTTATAGATAATTTGGTATTCATAAACATAGAGGGAGCAGAGGCATGAAAAATGCAAACCATAAGACTGTGCAAATATAATAACAAATTTGAGGGTGGATGAGTTCCCCAGGGAAATGGGAAAGGGGTGGGGAGAAGGAAGGGAAAAGGCTAAGGATCAGACTTGGGGGGATTCAATGATCACAGAAGGAGGAGTCTTGAACTAGGTTGAGACTTGGGACAACTAGTACTATCTGATGGGGTGGTGTTAGATGCAGCCAGGTGCTAATGGGATGGATACATCCCTTCGTATCTGGCTAAAAGGAGCTCATTGGTGACCACAGAGAAAAGGGCATCCATGGACTTTTGAGGATAGAAGTCGGATTTTAGAAAAACAGAAACATATGAAGGCAATGAGGGCATCATTTGAGTGGGACTGTTAAAAGAATGCAAAGAGGATGACAAATGAAAAGGATAGATGTTTCCCTGTAGTGTATGAAGGCTTTTTCTAGTTAGAGTGAAGCTATGTATGTTTGAAGAGAGCTTGGATACCTGCATTTGGAAAGAGAAAGATAATGTTTTTTTAACTATTAATATGACACAATACTGCCATCCTATTTAATGGGTCTCTTCTTAGATGATTTTAAAATTTAAATCATTGTTGTAAACGATAAAAAATAAATCATCAAAAGATTTCTCTTACAGACTTTGTCACAAAACAATGGAACTAGAAGGGTCTTGAGGTATTCATATAAGCTGGACAGGCATGTTTCTGAATTAATCTGGAAGATAGCTCTTTATTTTCAAGACGATTAAACAAGGATATTTGGCAGCTTCCCCAGTGACCTCTGGTATTCTAATAATGCTGATTTTCATTTCCTTAACTAAAATATAAAAGTATAGAGAGATTAAGCTCTCCAATGTTTCAATCAGGAAATGCTACTTTTCTTACTATAAACTTGGCTTATCTTATAGGACCAACAATAAAGGATTATGTGGGAGCCATAAACGGCCATCTCCTGGCAGTAGTATCCCATTATTATGATGTAGTTTCTCAAAGGAATTTAAGTGTTTGAGGGCATGGTTCCAGGGACATTGCGTTCTGCTTGAATCAACAATTTCTGTTGTATCAAAGACACTGCCCTTTAGAGATAAAGGCCACTTTGGAAAACTAGCAAGCTTTCAGAGTATAGGTACAAAATGAACTTGACCATTACTCTAGATTTTTTTTCCTTTTCTTTTCAAAGAGCAGTCATCATTTGAAAGTATTCCCAGAGCCCCTGCCTCACCCTCTTAGGTCATGAGGTCATGAAGGCATTCCTTACTGAGAAGTGGCTTAGTATTGAGAAACTGCTGAAACTTTGGTGAGAAAACTATAGAAACACATTTTGGAGACTGAGAGGGTCCACACTGTCAGGCAGTTTTCACTCAGCCAAGAGACACCTGCCAGGCCTTCCTACTGCACTACTTCAGGGATTTGCATATGCAAACATATTCCCCACATACGTGCATTTCTTTTTAGCAGGTTTGGGTTTTCTGTGAAATGAGAACAGAGAAGTCAGATACTGATAGGAGTGAAACTAATTAATGAAATCCTTTATCTACTTGGTACCTTCATCAACAGCAAAGCAGTTTATGTTATGGGCCTTTATGGTCTTCTTGTTTTCTTTTCTTTTTCTTTTTCTTTTTTTTTTTTTTTTTTTTTTTTTTTTTGAGACAGCAGGGTCTTGCGCTGTCACCCAGGTTGGAGTGCAGTGGTGCGATCTCGGCTCACTGCAACCTCTGCCTCCTGGGTTCAAGCGATTCTTCTGCCTCAGCCTCCCAGAGAATATTTATGTTTTTTAATAAAATATTTTTTCCAAAGCAAAGATCAGTTTTATATTAGACTATTCCTTGACTATACATGCATTTTACAGAGGAAAATGTCGATTTTTCCAGGGAGGAATTACCACAAGGACCAGCTGCTCTGAGACTGCCCCTGAGCTGTTTCTTATCCTCAGCCCCTCTCTTCTCCATTGCTATTTTTGTGTTCTATGTAAAATATCTTTGCTCATTTCTCTGAGTATGTATTAGCATTTTCCAAAGTTGGTTATGTTCCCTCAGCGGTCATCTTCTACCCCGGGAGCTTCTTAGTCTCTATTTTTACTCCTTAGAAACAGAAAAAGTACATGTGGAAGCTTTGTAAGTTTCACATTTTAAAGTTCTCTTTCTTTTGGGAAAGAGAAAGTTGAGAAGTTTAAAACTGCCTCTAGAAGAAACCTATCTCCACATTCCATCAACTATATAGGAGGCAAGAAAGCATCTTTTATGAGCAAAGGCTTTGGAAGCAGGAAATTTCTGTTCTATGATCTACTAACTACTTACACTGGGCTTTAGTTTCCTCGTTGATAAAATGGAAATATCAACAGTGCTTGCCTTCACAGGGTTGGAGTAAGCATTGCATGAGCTAATGCATATGAAGGGCTTCAGCCAGTGCAGGCATGGAGAGGATCTCAATAAATGTTAGTGATAATGGTGGTGATGATGATAAAGGATTTGGAGTCTCAACACATTATATTGTAGCATTACAATGTAACATTTTCCGATAAGAAACCAGATCACATAGTCTGCCAAGGTTATTTGAATTTGTTATGTGGAAGGGAAAATTACTTCTCTGTCACTTAATGGCTGCCATATATTCTTTCTCAGTTAGGAGGTGTGCATACACGTACTTGTATGTCTTGTGTCCTTGCCCTGATGGTCAAGAGTTTTGTTTTAGCCCTTTTAAAAATCCAACACAGCTCTCAATATTGAGCAGTGCATGCAGTAGCCTTTCTACAAGTGATTTCTTTAATTTAAAAAAAAAACAAATTATCATGCAAATTATACTGTTAGAAAAGATTTTGACCTTATGAAGATTTATAAGACATTTATTTTTAAAGTAAAAGAGATTAAATTGGCAAATAAGGTCTTCTAAACTACCCATTTCTGGTCTATTTCCTAAGGATTCACCTCTACTCACACTTGCTTTTCTTAGTATTTTGGCTGTTACACAATGAAATGAAGTTAATGGTTTCTAATAATGAATGAGCCATCTTCATGTTAGAGGTCTTGGTACCAAGCAATAGAATCCAACTCAGGCTAACAAGAGGGAATTTGCTGAAAGTAAATGAGAGGACCCACAGAACTGATGTGAGACTGGAGGACCACACTTTAGAATGAGCAGAGAGCATGAGAGCTCTGGCAAGTTAGGGGCAGAAACCATTGCCATGGTCTTTGTAGCAGGAAGCATCTGTTCAGCACTAGGCCATGGGGGAAGAAAACCCACAGTCCACTCTCTTCTCTATGTGAGTGACCCACTCCATCATCAGAGTCTTCTGAGAGGGTGACCGGCTAAGCTCAGATAACAGGCTCTATAGCCAGGCTATTCCAGGAGCTGGGGGTAGGGGTGTGGAGAGAGAGAGAAAAAAAATCTAACCTATCATTTTTTGTAATGGGAGCTGGTAGCTGGGACCATCCTCACTACACAGCTATACAAAGAGGAAGAAGAGAGGCAATTTTCCAGAAAGAAACCAGAATACTACCAGGAAAGGGGAATGGATGCTTAGGAGCCCACGGTGGCAAGTGTCTGATATTCTACACTGCTAATAATCTGATTCTTTACGTCGGACATAGTCTGTAATCTAGCCTGTCTTTATTAAACCTTTGAAGACCTGAAAACACAGTATGAGATATTCCATTTTGCTATTCCTGTCCTATATGTGATCTAAAGACAGTCCTCCATGTCATCATCCTGCTCTCGTCTAAGTGGGAACAGCTTTCCCAAGCAATTAGATGGGAATTCAGGAGTTGAGAATATCTTAGCACCAGCATTAGATACTAGGATGTGCTACCTTTATTTATGTATAATTTCCAAATAAATAGAAATACATTTAAAGCTATTATTTCCTGTAAATTAAAGCCAGTCAACATAGCACCAGGGAGATTTTGCACATCTTATTAAATTGGGTCCTGTATAGGTATAATGTATTCAGTTCCCACCAAAGGGAATGTTTCTGGCACAGTAGAGGGTCTGGTTACTTTGAGAGTCTTAGGTTGGTTGCTTTTCTGTTGTTGTTTTAGAATACCATTCAAATTTAAGGTATTGCCCTTTTAGATTGATTCTGTTTGCTTTTATGTTCTAGGGGAAAACATATCCATTTCGGGGGGCCTTTCCACCGGTATGGAACCCTATTGCATATTTGGATTATAACAACTTATGGCGAACGATGGATAACATGGGAAAGGAGGTAAAATGTGTTCAGTTTGTATGTGACCCATTACTGAAATAACAATAGCAACTGTTTAACATCCTTCCATGGTGCAGGGAACATTGCTCCATACACCAATGCATATCATTTCCAATGTACCCAAACTCTGCAAAGTTGGTAGTATTTCCACTTCACAAATGGGAAAAATGAGTGCCCAAAGATTATGCAATTTACCCAGGACCTCATAGCAAGGGAACCAGCATACCAACCTACTCTCTTATACAAATGCCCATGTACCTTCAATTCTATGCTACTGAGCATTTATATGACATATTTTTGCCAAGTATCTCTACTTATAGTTGTCTGTCTGCCTGTAATGCCATTTTAGATAGTAAAGGAGAGAAGGATATGCCACCCCAAAGCTTTTTTACTTAGGCTCTGTAATATCAATCTCTCAAACTTGAATTTGGGACATAAAATGGGTATTAGCTTTCAATAATAATGATGATAATCATCATCATGATAATAATATAAATTTATGCATAGACATATATAATACTATCACTATTATTATTGTTTTAGCAATGGCATTAGGACAGAATCCAAAGAACCCTACCTACCCCACTCCCTGTCTCTATATAGAATTCCATACCAATCACACATTTCAACACAGAGACCAAGAGACCCATTTTCGGAGGTTCTCATGAGGGCCTTCCTAAGAGGAGGCAGCAGTTACTATCACACCTGAGTGGGGGACTTCCTTTCTCTACAGATTCCAGCTGAAGCTCCCTGGGAGGCCCCACATGCTAATGAATGGGACAAAATGACTATGAAAGAGCTCATTGATAAAATCTGCTGGACAGCGTAAGTAGATTTGACCATACAAAATTTCCTTTTTATCTTTTCTTCTTGTCTTTTATATCCTGCCTTGAACTGCAGTGCTTTTCTTAACAACTTACAGAAAAAAAGTTAAGAGGTAACGTAGTAATCTTCAGTCAGTAGCAATATTGAGGGCACTTTAGCACTTCAAAGTAGGTTAGAACAGAAAATGAATCTAAAAATTAAGAAAAGTAGGTGAATGAAGTAGAACTTCTTTTAATAAAAGTGTTGTATAATCAATAAAAACAATAATTGTGTTTTCATATTATGGAAAGGTTGCCTACAAAAGCAGTTTGAAAAGATAGTACATTTACACCATGGAATACTATGCAGCCATAAAAAAGTATGAAATCATATCCTTTTCAGGGACATAGATGAAGCTGGAAGCCATCATCCTCAGCAAACTAACACAGGAACAGAAAACCAAACACTGCATGTTCTCATTCATAAGTGGGAGCTGAACACAGACACAGGGAGGTGAACAACACACACTGACGCCTGTCAGGGGTTAGGGGAGAGAGAGTATCAGGATACATAGCTAATGCATGTAGGGGTTAATACCTAGGTGATGAGTTGATGGGTGCATCAAACCACCATGGCACACATTTACCTGTATAATAAACCTGCACATGTACCCTGGAACTTAAAATAAAAAGATAATCTCATATAGATGTAGAATACTAGAAAATGAGAGGAAAGCTAGTCTGTACTAGTAAAAAATATGTTATATAATCTTTTCAATTAGGCCATGTGTTATTAGTTTATGTGGGACCTACTATGTGAAGGCACCATACCAGGCACTGAGGAATTGGGGGGTGAACTTCTTAGGAATAGCCCCTACCCTCATGGAGTTTATGTTCTTCTAGCAAGCACTGAACTTGAACACAATTACATAAGAACCAGGAGAGTTCCTGTATTAGGGAGAACCTTACATGGTCTGAGGGTAAAGGAAGCATTCTTTGATGAAGCAATCTTTAATCTGAAATTAAGTGCATCAACTAAGAATGAGCCACAGGAACAGGGGGCAGTGAACAATGTAGGGTGATGGTATCTTCCAGGAATGACACACAGGGACAGGAGAGAGAAAGGAAGAGTGGATGAAGTTGAGGGGATAGTATCTGCCAGGAATAAACTATAGGGCAAGAGAGAGACAGGAAGGGTGGATGGTGTGGTGGAAATGGTAGCTTCCAGGGGTAACCCATAGGGTTGATAGTAGTGGGGCATATGGTATGATCTAAGAATGATACACAGTGTCAAAGGGAAGTAGGGAAGGTTGGACAGTGTTGGTGGGAGGAGGGAATGATATCTTACAAAAATTACCCACCGGGACAAGAAGGGAGAAAGGGATAATGGAGAAACATGGATGGTGTTTTAGGAATGACCCACAAAACAAGGGCGAGGGGGACTTGAAGGGTGGATGGCATTGGGAAGCTTTGTTTTCTGGGAATGAGCCACAGGGATTAGGGGGAGATAGGGAGGATTGATGGGGAAGGAAGATAGTATCTTCCAGGTATGATCCACAGGTTCAGAGGGGAGACAAGTATAGTGGATGGTGTTTGCCATGAATGAGCTACTAGGATAGTGGGGGAGACAAAAAGGTTGATGGTGTGGTGTGATGGTATCTTTTATGAATGGTTGATGGTGTGGTGTGATGGTATCTTTTATGAATGACCCAAAGGGGTAAAGGGAAGACAGGAAAGGTATATGTTGCAGGGATATCATCCACCAACAACCTGGAGATGTAGTGGGGAGACGGAGGTATAGTTGGGTTGGTATTACCAGGTTATGTCTTCCTGAAATGAGCAAAAAGGGCAAGGGTGAGATAGGAAGAGTGAGTGGTGTGGCTTGGTTGCATCTTCCAGGAATGCCCCCACAGTGTTAGGGAGTGGGGAACAAGGATGGATCCCTTTGGGGTTATGGTATCTTCCAGGATTGGCCTATAGGATCAAGGGGAAACGCAACATTAGATACTGCCTGTGTGTGGTGGGGAGGTGGGGTCAGGGGGAGAATGAAATTTTCCAGCTATTTCTCTCTCCCTGGGGAGAGAAAGGGAAGGTTGCTTTGTGTGGATAGAGATGGTATCTTCTACCCAAAAGGTCAAAGGAGAAGCCAAAAGGGTAGATATCTTAGGGGAAGGGGAATTTTCCAGCAATGACCCAGAGGGTTGGTGAGGAGACAGGAAACATAGATCTTGAGGCTGCATGATGTATTCCAGAAATGATCCACAGGGAAGGGGCAGATACAAAGGTGGATGGGGTGAGGGAGATGGTCTCTTCCAGGCATGACCCACAAGGGTAGAGGGGACACAGGTAGTGTAGATCATTTGGTAAAATGGAATTTTCCAGGAATGGTCCACAGGGCAGAGGATACATAGGAAGGTTTGGTGGTGTGGCAGGATGGTATCTTCCAGGAATAAACAATACTGGCAGTAGTAAGGGGGAGAAAGGAAGGGTAGATGGTGAGATGTCATGGTTTCTTCCAATAATGACTCACAGCATGGTACAGGAATGACCCACAGGCAGAGGGCAGAGAGAGGAAGCATGACTGGTGTGGCAGGATATACCTTCCAGGAATGGTCCACATGAGCTAGGGGATGCAGGGAAAGTGGGCTTGTTTGCAGGCATGGCTCTTCCTGGAGCGACCCAAAGGGTCAGGGATGAGACAGGAAGAGTGGATATTTGGGGAGGGGGGAATAACTTCCATCAATGACCCAGAGAGGTGGGAGGAGACAGGAAGTGTAGAAGGTGACCAGGATGGTATTTCCAGAAATGACCTTCAAGAATTGGGAGAGACAACTAGGATAGATGATTTAGTGGGGTGGTATCTTCCAGGAATGAACCAAAGGGGCGGAAGAAAACATGGTAGATTGTATTTAGAGAGATGGACTCTTCCAGGAATGAGCTACCCTGGTGGTGTTTGGGCGGAACACAGAAAGGGTAGGGATGGTATCTTCCAGGATGACCCACAAGGCCAGGGGGAGATAGGTCAGGGTGTATAATGTGCTTCTGAGGGGAGGGGATGTTACTTTTTTGGAATGTGACACAGACACTCTGGGGACTCAGAGAAGGGTAGATGTTTTGTGGAGGAGCTGGTATCATCCCAAAATGAACCAGAGGGTTTAGAAAGGTGTACCAGGATGGTATCTTCCAGGAATGAGCCACAGGGAGATGGGGGTGACATGAGGGTAAATGTTGTGAAGGGGAATATCTTTCAGTAATAACTCAAAGGGGCGGGGGGAGATAGGAAATAAAGATAGTGAGGCAGGATGGTATTTTCTAAGAATGGTCTTCAGCATGTGTGGGGTTAAGTAAACAGGAAAGATGGAACGTGTAGGAGGATGTTATCTTCCAGGAATGAGCCACAGAAGTAGGGGTGAGACAGGTAGGTAGATGGTTTCATGGAATGGTATTTTATAAGAATAAGCCACAGGGCACTGGGTAGATATAAAGGGTGGATGGTATGGAGGAAATGGTATCTTCCAGGAATGAACTACAAGATTGAGGAAGGAGGGGGATGATGGATGAGCTAGGAGGATGGGATCTAACAGGAGGGCACATAGGGCCAAGACAAGACAGAGTGGATAATGTAAGGGGTGTTAGTATCTTCCAGGAATATGACGCAGGCAATGCAGGGAGGCAGGAAAGGGTAAATGTTTTGGTGAGGGAGTAGTATCCCCAAATGACCCAGAGTGGTAGAGGGGAGATGTGATAGTTGAATGGCAGGATGGTATCTCCCAGGAATGACCCACAGAAGTCAGGGAAATAAGTTTAAGCAGATGGTATCTTCCAGGAATGAGCCACAGTGGCAGTGGTGGGGGTGGGAGACAGTCAGGGTGTATGTGGATGGTATCTTCTGGGAATGACCCGCAGAAGTCAGGGAAATAAGTTTAGGCAGATGGTATCTTCCAGGAATGTGCCAAAAGGGTAGTGGTGGGGGCAGACAGGAAGGGTGGATACTGGGGATGATATCATATAGGAATGAACCAAAGGGGTTCGTAGGGAGTTAGGAATCATGAATGGCGTGGCAGGATATATTTTCAAGAAATGACGCATATGGGCTAAGGGGATACAGGGAATGTTGACCTAACTAGGGACATGGTATTTTCCTGGAACAATTCAAAAGGTTGGGGGGAGATAATACGGGTGGATGTTGTGGGGAATAAATTCCAGTAATGACAGAAGGGTGGGGGCGACAGGAAGTGGGGAAGGTGAGGCAAGATGATATTTTCCAGGTGTGACGCACAAGGTTGGGAGAGTAAGATGAATGATGGTAGGGGAAATGATATCTTCCATGATAACCCTCAGGGGTAGCAGGAAATAGGGCAGGGTGGATAGTGTTGAGGGGGCTCTTTCAGGAATGTGACTAAGTTTCTGGGGGGAAACAGGGAAGGGTAGATGTTTTGTGAGGGAGTGGTACCAAAATGACCCAGAAGAATAGTGGAGAAATAGGACGGTTGCATGGTGTGTCAAAATGGTATGTGCCAGAAATGAGCCACACTTACGGTGGCAGAAAGAGATAAGAAAGGTGGATGTTGGCTGGGATGATATCATTCGAGAATGACCCAGAGGAAGAGGGGAGAGACAGGAAGCCTGACTGGTGTGGTAAGACATATCTTATGGGAATGAGCCACAGGTGTGGGAGAAGACAGGGTAGATGATTTGATGGAATGAAATCTTCCAGGAATGACCCACAGGGTCATGGGGGAAAATTGAAGGGTAGACGTTGTGGATGGAGGTAACTTACAGCAATGACCCAGAGGGATGGGGGAGACAGGATGGTGCGGCAGGATGATATCTTCCAGGATTGAGCCACACTGGTGGGGTCGTGGGGGGGCATGGTATCTTCCAGGAAAGACCCACTGGGGTCGGGAGAAGACTGGTAGGGTAAAAATGGTTTGACTGAATGTTATTTTACAGGAATGATCCACAGGGCAGAAGGTAGATAGGAAGGATGGATACAGTAGAAGAGATGGTATGTTCCAGTAATGAACTACAGAATTTGGGGAGGGGTTTAGAGAGATAGTATCTTCTAGGAATGAACCACACGGGTAGTGGTAGGGAGAGGCAGGAAGAATGGATGTTGTGGGAGGGTGGTATTCAGGAATGACATAGCAGGGACTGGGGGAGACAGGAATACAGGAATGTTGTAGCAAGATACATCTTCCAGGAATGAGCCACGAGGGCTTGAGGGGAGACATTATGATTGGATGGTGTTGGTATATGGTATATTCCAGGAATTAGCCATAGGTTTAGAGGGGAGGCAGCAAGAGTAGATGGTGTGGCGGTGATGATATCTTCCAGTAATGGCCCATAGGTGCAAGGGGGAGATTGAGGAGATTGGACAGTATTGGGGAAATTAGAACTTCCATGAATGTGACACAAGCTCTAGAAGAGATGGTGAAGGTTGAATTTTTTTGGGGGGTGGTGGGCATGGGGAGGTAATGATATCCTAAAATCACCCATAGTATTAGGGTGGTGATAGGAAGATTGAGTGGTGTAGGCAGATGATACCTACTAGGCATGACTCTCAGAGACAGTGGGAACATGAGAAGATAGAAAATGTGTTTGCAGGGGTATTGTCTTCTAGGAATGAGACACAACTGCTGAAGGGAGATAGGGAAAGGTGTATGTTTTGGGGGCAGTGGTACCATCCAGAAATGAACAGAGGAGTAGCAGGTAGACAGGAAGAGTCAATGGTGTATGGCAGGATGCTGCCTTCCAGAAATTACCCACAGGTACGCAAAGAGACAGGAAAGGTTGGATGATGTGTGGAGAATCGTATCTTTCAAGAATAACCCAAAGTTTGCAGGGGAGTGGGGGGACAGGACGAGTGGATGATACACAGCGATGGAATCAGCTAGGCAGAGGGGGCAGGGAGGAGCTTCTGTGAAGGCCTTGAAGTGAGAAGCATGTTGGCATGTTTGAGCAACTGATTGAACAGTATAGCTGGACCATAGTGATGACAAGAGCAAGTGGTGTAAGGGGAGTTTGGAGGACCAGTCTAGAGGCTGATAGTGCAGGATCTATCAGCCACATTCAAGATTTGTCCTTTCTCCATTGAAGGTCATTGAAGGGTTTTAAGCAGAGGGTTTTTTGAGTTTGACACTTTTAAAAGACCTCATTGGCTGTAGTGTGGAGGATACAAGAGGTGATATAGGATGACCAAGTAGGAGCCACCTGGACATATTGGTAGCCTGGACCAGGGCTATGGCAATGAAGATGGAGAGGAGAGGATGGGTGTTAAAACAAGCATATTGACCCTTAAAGAGAACCTAGATTAGCATATTTTGGGGCGAACTCATAATTTCTTAATAGCAGGAGAAAACTTTAGTTTCCTCAAGAGTTATAAAACGCATTCTTTCAGAAATTGAATCTTTGAGGGTTTTTTTTCCCAATTACAATAGAAATACTTTCTGAACACACCAAATAGTGTTTTAAAAACATGACATTCTCTGATTCCTGTACATCTTGACACCTGACTTCCACTTTTGTTCTGTGAACAGGACTGCTAGGCGTTTTGCTTCTCTTTTTGTGAATATCAATGTGACTTCTGAGCCCCACGAAGTGTCAGTTCTATGGTTTCTATGGTATGTGAAGCAGTGCGGTGGCACCACTCGGATATTCTCTGTCACCAATGGCGGCCAGGTATGGTGTGTGTGTCTGTTCTGAAACAAGCGCTTCATCTGGGATTTTGCTTTCTCCCAGGGCAGCATCTTTAATAATTGCTGCAGTATTTTAAAACATGAATAATTAGCAGTGTGAAATGATCTCAAAATCTTTTCTGGAAAAAAGGAACCAGTTTCTCATTTCCTTTTGTCATTCCTAAAAAGGAGTTCTCAGATAAAGAATGTTTCATTTTGAATTAGTTAGTTTTTGGGAATTAAGTTCCTTCCTTTTGATGGCAGGTCAAATTAGGCTGCTTATGTAGTAGAAGCTAAATTCCTAATATTAAGTAATTTCCAAAAAATTCTAGAAATTGTGCAGTTATGATACTTAAAGTCATCTCTGTTCCAGACATAAGCCTTCTGTCCTATCTGTTTATCTGAGTTATTCTTTTATGGTAACTGTTACAGAATGGAAGTTACTGTTCTTCCTTCTAATTCACACAAGTGATTATGGCCTCTCTTGCAATAGTAAATTCTGCCTTTTGGATTCTTCACTTTTGCCGCCCACTCGCTTTTGCCCAGTTTCCATATCATTTCCTTTATTAATAAATGAATGAACTCATTTGGCTCATTGGCTGGACACATGGCAAACCAGTGGCGAAGCCAGAATCCTAATTCCCCAGATTCTGAGATTCTCTGTTTCAACCATTTATGTTATCCAAAGAGAATGGGTATCTCTGTTCTAGAAATGTTATACTTGGATGGTATGAGGTTTAATTAGCAGTAATTTGCTTCTAACTTAGGTTCTCTGAGTTCCAGAATTATGAGTGCATAGTACAAGGTGGAGTTTTTCTCTGCCAAGTGAATTATACCTCTCCTGAGGAGATCACCGGAAATCCCCAAGTTCTTGTGACACCAAGAGTTACTGCCCATTTGACCCTTAGCTTTGGCGAATGCAGGACACTTGCATTTTTTAAGTGTCTTTACTTACAGGCAGAAATGCTAACTTATTTCTTTTAGCCAGTATTTTACTTTCTGAGGTATTTTTATTCATATTTGATATTTGTGTCCTTCATTCAGAGGAGCCAGGATACTTCTAGCCAAATTCTACATGACCTTTTGGAAAGTATGATTCAGATGATTAATCTCAAACCATGATTACAACATTTTTATAAAGAACTTAGACTTACCATGTAATTTAATTCAACAAATACTAGACCTGGAGGGGTGAACCGTGAACAAGACAGAAACAGTTCCTGATCTGTCCACCACACTAAAAGTAACTCTTAGAAAACATAGACCAGATTATAAGGTAAATGGTACAGGTTTCTTGAGGAAGGACGAATCATGAATTTAGGTCTGAACCACTCTGAGATTTTTTTCCCCCTTTTTTAAAATTTAAATTTTGAGACAGGGTCTCACTTTGTTGCCTATGCTTGTCTTCACCTCCTGGGCTCAAGCAGTCCTCCCACCTCAGCCTCTCAAAGTGCTAGGATCACAGGCATGAGCCACCATGCCTAGCCAGGAATATTTTTTATAAAGAATTTTGGTGGTGTCATTAAAAGAGTAGCCAGTTACAAAAGTGGAAAAATCACTGTATGACTGTTTATGAATTTTTCTGGAGGAGCATGATTGAAGAATCTGTTAACTGGTGGGCTGTGCACTTCTAACCATTTAAAGAATCTTCTATGATAGGCTAAAAATATCCCCCTGGTTCTTACCAAAAGCATTGTGTTAAGGACTTACCTACTTAGATTAAGCTGAAAACATTTCCATGGTGATCATAGAAGGCAGCGAGTAGAGCACTTCTGGTGCTCGAGGGCTGCCCGAAAGAACGATTTAACAATATCTAAAGAAACAAGCAGATGCTTAGCCTTCACCCTCTGCCTTCGCCTTGAAACTTACAGATAGTTTTGTAAAAAGTTACTCAAGATCTGATATTCCAATTTTTTTTTTTTTTTTTTTTTTTTTTTTTTTTTTTTTTTTTTCTGAGATGGAGTCTGGCTCTGTTGCCCATGCTGGAGTGCAGTGTACAGTGGCACAATCTCAGCTCACCACAACCTCTGCCTCCTGGGTTCAATTGATTCTCTTGCCTCTGCCTCCCAAGTAGCTAGGATTACAGGCATGTGCCACCACGCCTGGCTAATTTTTGTAGTTTGAGTAGAGATGGGGTTTTACCATGTTGGCCAAGCTGGTCTCGAACTCCTGACCTCAGGTGATCCACCTGCTTTGGCCTCCCAAAATCCTGGAACTACAGATGTGAGCCACCTCACCTGGCCCATCTTCCAATTCTTAGAAACATCATTTGGTGGTGACTAGTAGGACATGACTATCCCTAAAAGCACCTTGTAACTTTGTCTATAATATGACACTATCTGCATCCTTACCTGCCTGGAAAACCTCAGCCCAGAACGAGAGGAATCAAAGGAAATTAGAAACCTCATCCTGTGGGATAAGCACAGTGCCCTCCCCTTCCCAGGGCTCCGTCCACACCCTGCACTCTTTGGGCATTTGAAGCCCACAGACTTGCTGGTATTCCCAATTGGTCAGGGCAGCATTGGCATAGTGGAGCATTTCTTCTCGTTCTGTGATTTTCATAAACTTGCAATGGCTTTTCCTTGCTGGAAGCTGTGCAGGGAATGAGCATTGAATTGTCTTGGCCAACTCTGCCTCTATCCTGATGAATTCTTCTGACAGTTAAATGTGTGAACATTGGAGGTGTGGCCTATGACTTTCTAGAGGTTTTCTAATCAGTAGCAAACAGGATTTTCCTTCCTTGGGCTTTCATAACGTTTCCTTTCCTACCTACCTCCTCCTGTAGGAACGGAAGTTTGTAGGTGGATCTGGTCAAGTGAGCGAACGGATAATGGACCGCCTCGGGCACCGAGTGAAGCTGAACTGTCCTGTCACTCATGTTGACCAGTCAAGTGACAATGTCATCATAGAGACATTGAACCATGAACATTATGAGGTAACTCAGTTTAGTCAAAAGGAGCATATAATACATAGGCCTTGTGTCTTCTGTAGCTTCTAATCATATATAATTCAAGCAGTGCATAATTAGTGCTGACATGTTTCTGCCTCAATCTTCCAAATTACCAGCCTTGGTTGACCTACCTTGATCTGTTTTGTTGTCTCACAGTTGCCTCATTTTCTCATTTTGTATGTATTTATTGCTCAATGCTGTTTAAAAGTGATAAAGATGATTTTTCATGCCTTCTACAAAGACTTCTGCGGTAATATTTGCTTGTGTGTGTTTTAGTGCAAATACGTAATTAGTGCGATTCCCCCGACTTTGACGGCCAAAATTCACTTCAGACCAGAGCTTCCACCGGAGAGGAACCAGTTAATTCAGCGTCTTCCAATGGGAGCTGTCATTAAGTGTATGATGTATTACAGGGAGGCTTTCTGGAAGAAGAAGGGTAGGCTGCTATTATTCATGTTTAATCTGTATTATATGAAGAAATGATACTCTTTTAGAATTATTGAACTGAAGGTCCTGAACAGAAAAAAAAAGTATTTTCAAATTGATATAAAAAGGATTAGAAATCTTGGTCTGACAATTTCCTCATATCCCTGGCCACACATAATGACCCCAAGAGCATTTGTTGGCAATGGGAGGGAACAAGGAGATGATATCATTCATAAGGCCACCATTGCCCTGGCTCCTGACATCTGTCCTGCTGCTTACTTTTTATGAACAGAGTGAGGTCAGCAGTCACCATGGAAAGAGCAGTGCATTGAAGTCGCACATTCCAGGACTTCACTTGCTTGCTAGCATCAGTCTGTAGGTGTAAAGTGCTGACAATAATACCTACCATTAAGGTGTTGTGAGAATTAAATGAGGTGGGGTCTCCGACTTAGAAAGCTCCCCAGATATGGTGGCTACTGTTGATAAGCATTCTGCTTATACTCATCAAATTCTCTTCTGCCTCTTCACTGGATTGTTGGTGTGGTTCTTTCCAACGCATCCCTTCTCTTTCCTCATATATGCTAGGAGCCAGGGTCATCTTACCATTTTTGTCATGCATTGGTTGGTCATAAGCCCTTTAAGTAAAGGTGATGGAGATAGGTCATTTTCTGTCTGTGGGTGAATAGACATCCTTATATATTCAGTGTGTATATTTAACAAGACATAGCATCTAGGGATGGGGCCAAGACCAAGAGTTTAAGATTTGCCTTTCTCTTAAAAAATAGTTTATGTATATTTATGTATTATGAGTATCTCTGATGAGCTTGGTCTTGATCTCCCATTGATTTTCTCCTGATTAAGATTATTGTGGTTGTATGATCATTGAGGATGAACAGGCTCCAATTTCAATAACCTTGGATGACACCAAGCCAGACGGCTCACTGCCTGCCATCATGGGGTAAGTTAAAGCTGGCTGTTCTGCATTTTCCAAATTGTATTGATGTATTGGTGTGGATGCTGTCAAAACATATTACTTTGGAATTAAGCTCAAGCAATGATGAATAATGCTATCAAAATATATAATGTTTCCACGTATTAAAATATTACAGTAATGTGTTATGTATGGCACAAGAATACTGGGAAACTTTACTAAAATTGGCACCATTTTGAACTTGTGCCCATGTATTTCTTTCTCTCATAACACTTACATGTTGAGGATGGAGTGAAAAAAAAAAAAAAAAAAACAAACAGCTAGGCAAGCAATATGACAGCCAATCCTGCCTAGAGGCAGAATATCCACAGCCATTCTGAAATTAGAACTAACTGCTTTATCCTATAAAAAAAATCTAAATGCAGGGTTTCTGGGTTTTATCTTTTTCTCCATTCCAGATATCTGCTACATAGCAAATATTAGTTATTACCCTGAGACATAAGATAGCTGACCAATTAAGAGGCACAGTTCAGAGTTGAGCCAGGCCTTGAGTGGATGGCATGGCAGTTTTTCTGGTGGGTCACTCTAGTTATCCTTCACCAGTGGTGCTTCACTTAACCTCCGAAGTGTGCAGATGGTCCAGAGCCTGGTTCTGTGTAGGGAAAATGAGAGCTCTTCCCCTCTTCCCATTCTTGCACACAGCTGCCCTACGTGGTGAGGGGTGGGGGTCCAGAGAAGGAAGTGGGATCTCCACAAAGGAATTGCTAAGGAGTTCCACTGCCTCCCTGTTGCCTCCTCCCTTTTGGCCTCCTCAAAAACTATACAAATAAAAGGTGATTTATTCTACCACGCTGTAACAAAAGAACATAGCTTCAGTGACAATCAAGTGACTCTCAGAAACCAGTGGTTTCCCCTTTACCCCTGGGAAATGCTTACCTCTTGCTCAAAAGGAAAGGTGAGCTCATACACATCATGACATTAAAGGAAAATTACAAAGACAAAAGGAGCAGACCCACGTCCCAGGGGACTTAGAAAGCAGGTTGTGCTACTGGGTTACTAATGAGACATCTTATAACCACTTCTCTCATTGTAACACGTAAGAAATACACCAGCCTCCCTGAGAAAGGCAGGTGCTTACAACATAATGACCATTGGAATAACACATCCTCTTTAACTCCATTGGGCAAGAAAGGATATAGATTGTTTGGGTGGTTTGACATCACCTTCTATATGCCAGAGAAAAGCAGGAGATTCAGGTACAGGTTTCAGGAGAATGTCAGTTAAGACCAATCCGACTATGAATGGAAGAGCATTGATGTTTCTCTTGCCTTGGAAGTTAGATGTAGTGATGTCTTCTGCCCTTTGGTGCTTTCTTTTTATTTGAAAATGAAACTCAATATTTTAACAATTTTACTTAAGATAAATAGTATAAAAGGAAAATGTTAAACAGTTGTGTTCTGTGGACAGTGGGGCTAAAACAAATATGAAATAATAATAATAATTGGTTAGAGAGGACCAAGTATAGAAGAAAAGAGTTTCCTTGGAAACTGACGAATAGCAAAACAATCTGTTTCTTAACTCGGCGATGAGGTGTTAAAAATTAAAGCTACCATTTACTGAGCACTGGTTGTGGGTGCAAGTTTTTATGTGTACAGTGCTTTCGGACTTTCTTCAGCTTTATTAGTAACTAGGTTATTCAGGGCTCAAATAACCTTCCAGGGGTTAAGGGAGTTATTTAGGTGATTTCTATAAAGTGATATTCTAATCCCTTTTATCTGGATACTTGCCCCTACCCAGCTCTTTGCTCATGGCCGTAGCCACGAAAACCTTGAAGATAGGGGTGGTAATTGCCCAGCACTGTGTTTGTAATAACCTTTTGGAAACTAGAAAGGACTGTGTACTTTAAAACTGTGAAATGTTTCCAACATGAAGCCAGCATATTTAATTTCCTCAGTAAAACACCAAAGTAAGTTAAAGCTTATTTATCCATAGTTGGGATTAGATCAGAGATTATTTCATTCATGACTTGAGACTTCACAGAAATAACCAACACTAACTGCCCTTTAGGAAGGGAATTGTAAAAAGTACACAAGACTAGTTGACTAATGTTTACAGATAAATCATTTAATCTTTTATCAGATATTGATTAAAAAATGCTACACACATCTAAACTTACTGATTCTTGCAGAAGCCCAAAATCTAACTAAAATAATTAATAATAAGCTGTAACTTAAGGTGTTAAATCATACAAAATTATGACTATATCCCATTAAGTTCAATAGTTCAAATTTCCTAAATAGTCCACAGCTTTCTCTGAATTACTGTTCTCTGCATTAACATACATCTTTGCTTCTCAGTCTGATCTCAAATAACAGTTGTAAAGGAACTGCCAATCCAATTTGCGAAACACTTTAATTTGCGGGTAGTGAGAGAGGGAAGTATCTTTTTTTTTGCACTGATCAACTTGTCCTTTTGGTCTTGAATAAAAGAAATACAAATTTAAAACTTTTTTAATGGGAAAGTAATTTCATTGTCCTTTAGCTCATTTGGATTTTTGAAAGCTTTCTTATAATAGGATAACTAAGGACTTCATGTCACAATTCAGTTCTTTCAAATATACATGCAGTTAGTAATATGAGTATAATAAATAGAATCTATTTGATTAAAGGGGAGCAGACAGGTTACAATTGAGTTTTATTGAGTTACTTTATTTGAGGACTATATTAGGTCAGTTTCCAGGGAAGCTGACTCATCAGAGCTGGAGATTCAGGTGCTAGAGATTCATTGGACAGTGCTCTGAGGATGACCACCTATGGCAGAAGGATGAAGCAGGACTTGAGCTCCAGTGTTGTCCCAACGAAGGCCTCCTTGGAAGTTCTGGAGCTGGGTGGCTTTTCAGAGTTGTCTTCAACAGCCTAGATCGGAACAACTCTGGGGAGGGGTGGCACCTTGAGCGAGGCATTCTCTGCTGCCCCGTCCAATTACTGGTGAAGGTTTCAGCTGTGAGCTAAAGAGTAAGGAGTGCCTGGTCCTAAAGGGAGGCCTGGGGAGCCCACCATGGCCTCTACTACAGACACATATTTATATTTGTTTTTCCAGCTTTTATAAAGTATTTGGCAGAGGGCAACAGTCATTACCAGAATAATCATTTAGTGCAACATTAATTCATTCAACATTTGATTTCCTACTGTATGCCAAAAACCATGTTAAACTTTAGAAGTAAAATACTGAATAGGTAGTCACCTGTCATGTAGGAGAACACAGCCTAGCAGGGGTTTTGGACACATAGGCAGACCAAAGACAACATGGCATTTGCTCTAGTAGAGGAAGAGGGTCTGATAGAGTTCATTTAATGCTGAATAGGTACAGGTCAAGAATACTTCAAAAAGAAAGGGTAGCTCTTAAGATAAACAGCTGTAACCTGATTATTCAATGTAACTTCTCTCTCCAGCTTCATTCTTGCCCGGAAAGCCGATCGACTTGCTAAGCTTCATAAGGAAGTAAGGTAAGGATTTATAACTGAAAAATAGATTTAAAAGTTAGCTTTATTTGTGTTTTTGCACTGACAGTCGTAGAATAACATGAGGAAAAATACAATATTTCACAAATATTCTCAAAATTCCAACAAACCAACCTTTTGTATTTTGCTACAGTCATCTTGACCTATCCCTTGACTGTGTGCATATACAAATTTAATTTTATGTGTTTGTATTTATTTTACAGTGGTTAAGAGGTAGGATTTCCCAGTGAGATGGATGGAGAAAAAGTCACAGAAAATATTCACTGTGTAAAAAGCTGTAGAAACTGAATCTGAATCCCCTTGCAAGGCCATAATCCTTTTCTAAGATTCTCTGACATGGACTTTCTAAAAAGTGTGTTTTAACCTGTAGCAACTTGTGTACATGAAAGTACTCATACTTATTATCTGGGACACAGTTCTGATGTTTCCTTATCTGAAAGCTCCCTAGATAAAATTTATTTTAGGACAGTGGCTTCTTCTTTCTTTCTCCTTTTCTCTTTCTGTCATGGTATATTTGTTTTGTTTTGTTTTGGAATCCTTTGTCCAAATAAAATCTCACCCAGAGAGGTAAGCCTTTTAACATCAGAGTTATTTGGCTGTTGGAGGGATGCCTCACGGTAGCCCTAAATACTTTGCTAGCTTTTAAAGAGGTCCAATACATACACCAAAATATAGACTTTTCTCTGAATGTAATTTAAAAAATTAAACAGCTAACCCATTAGCAGCCCTTGCTTTGGGAGTTACTCTAATGACTTTAGACATAGGGGAAAGGCTGCAGAATGAGTTCCTGCATGTGCACACAGATTTGTTTATTTGAACAACCATGAGATTCAACAATCTCATGGTTTGCATGTAAGCTTTACATGGAAGAAACTCCCAGCTTTAATCCCTAGTAGGTTCTTCTCTGTTCACTCTAAGTGGTAAATGGTTGAATCCCAACAACCATGAGATTCAAACAACCATGAGATTGTTGTATCTCATGGTTGTTAAAATAAACTCTACTTCCTCCATAGAGGAGGGATTTGGGGTCCAGTGATGGGGAATGATTTTTTCAAGGCTCCATAGCTGGTGTCTTAGTCCATTTGTGATGCTATAACAAAATGCCGAAAACTGGGTTATTTATGAAGAATAGAAATTTATTTCTCACAGCTCTAGAGGCTGGGAAGTCCAAGATTATGATGTCAGCAGATTCAATTCAGTATTTGGCGAGGGCCTGTTCCATAGGTGCACTTTCTCATGGTGCCCTCACATGGCAGAAAAGGCAGAAGAGGGAAGGACAAATAGGGATGAAGGTGGTGTCCTCACATGGAAGAAGGCAGAAGGGCAGAAAGGGCCTAGCTAGTTCCCTCCAGCCCTTTTATAGGGGCACTAATCTATTCATGAGGGCATAATCTTCCTGATTTAATCATTTTCCCAAAGACCCTACCTCTTAATACCATGACCTTGGAAGTTAAGTACCAACATTTGAATTTTGGAGGGACACATACATTCAAATCATCGCAGCTAGCTTGTGACAAAGCCAGGAGTAGCGTATAACGCATACTTTTTCATTACACCACCCTAAGCTGACATTTTCTTTTGGATTTCCTGCTTTCCCTCCTTATTAATAGTAAAATAAATACCAGCCTGTAGGTAGACATTTGGTTATGATTCCACACAGTGGCTGAACTTCTCAAAAGTTCTTGTAAAGCAAAACTCTGACTGAATATGTCATTGACAAGAACAGTGGTTCCCAGATCTGACTGCATCAAAATATCTCAAAGAATGTTTGGAAAATATATTTTTATAAGACCTATAGATTGTGATTGAGTAGGTTTGAGGTGGGGTCCGAGTATTTGTATTTTTCAACAAGCTTTTCAGGTGATTATGATAAGCAACCAGATTTAGAAATCAGTGAATAAGTTCAACAGGATGATTTGCTCAGTGGCCTCTTTTGGCCATCATTTAGGTTCTGTCATTTTTAGAGCCAAATTAATCAATCAGTGCATTGTTTTTAACATCCTTGCCTTACATCTTTTCCAAAAAATTTTAATTGTAAAGGGAAGGCTTACACCTGTAATTTCAACACTTTTGGAGGCTGAGGCAGGCAGATTGCTTAAGCGCAGGAGTTGAAGACCAGCCTGGGCCACATGGAGAAACCCCATCTCCACAAAAAATGGAAAAGTTAGCTGGGCATGGTGGCATGTACCTGTAGTCCCAGCTACTTGGGAGGCTGAGTCAAGAGGTTCACCTGAGTCCAGGGAGGTTGAGGCTGCAGTGAGCCATGATCATGCCACTGCATTTCAGCTTGGGTGGCAGAGTGAGACTCTATCTCAGAAATAATAATAATAGTAATAAGTTAAGTACTGGTGAGCTTTTGTAGAATAATCATTGCCAATATTTTTATTTTCTCATTAACTCAAAATGTGTGAATTATTGCTTATAACACCCTTGTGAAGTAGGTGTTAGAATCAGTCATCTCTTCATAAACTAGGCAAAGAGGGTGTCATATTAGACTGAGGATGAATTTTGAATGAACAAATATTTATTGAGTACCTACTATGGGCAGATTACTCAGAAGGGTAGAGCCTTACCCTGCTAATTAGCTGAGCAAAATCAAGTAAATCTCTGCAGCTTCCCGAGCCTCAGCTTCCTCATCTCTGAAATGAGGGGCTTGAATCAGACTGAGAGAGACAGACAGGCAGACAGTAGTCTTGAGACTTCTTCACGTTCTTCCTTTCCCTTATGACTTTTTATGTATAATGTAGCAGTTCTTTAAAGGAAACCAAACCTTCTCTGACTATCCCGGAATTTATCCACCTAAATATCTACCTAATGTTGCATGACATCATCTCAGAAGTGGCATTTGTCTTTCCCTTGAAACCTTCCATGGAAAATGGTGACAATAAACAATGTTTATGATCCGCCTCCTCCTCCTGACTTTATACCTATGAGGTGAATGTTCTGGAAGTTATATAAATGGTTTAAGTGTGAGCATTTAGATAAATTTATAAGGTTACATTTCATCCCACATTATTCAGAGAAATTAGGGGCATGTCTTTAAAATATTTTCTAATGTAATTGGCAACATAAAATTGTATATTCTTCAATCTCTATTTCTTTATTATCAGTAAGCTTCAGCTCCCCCACTGCATAATTTTGTCTCTTCAGCTTTTAATACTTGTCTTATAGATTTGACTCAAATCTTTTGCCACATTTTTAAGCAAATATTTTTCCAGTTGCTTGTTATCCCTTAACAAATATTTTAGAGCATTTTCAAATGTTTAAACTATATAAAAACTATAAAAAGTAAATAGGAAAAGTATATAACTGGATCAGTGTGAACCTATGCAAACAAATCCAGAAATAAAACCATTAATTTCTAAAACAGGTGATTTTAGTAAATTAGACCTTTTAAAAAACTTCACCATAAGTAGTTGTGAGTTTAAAATGTATTTCATTTCAAAAGGAGTTTACATAAGTACAACCACGGGTTTTTTCAGACATGAAAATACCGTGATCTGGGCTAGTCATTTAGATAATGACTTATGAGACTAACCAAAGGCTGTGTTTGAGGTAACATTAGCATATTGTGTCCATCCCTCAGGTACAGTTTGGAATACTGTGGTCCACAGATGATTCTGTCAAGTGACAAATTCCTGTACTGAAATGACTGTAGACACTTTCAGTATAGCATAACTTAGGCTTAAAAGATGACATGGAAATGGATTTCCAGTCCTCTGTTGTCTGCAGCTTTTTTAATTTTAAGGTTTGACTAATTGGATCCATCTCACTGTACAATGTTTTAGTTACAAGCAGAAAGTAGACTTTGGTATAAAGCACGTTATTTCTATATTGAAAGAAGTACAGTTGAAATTGTAGATTTCAGATAGTCAAAATCATGACAATCTAACTTGTCTCTTTTAACCTACTGTGTACAATCTAATTTTTAAAAATTGTAAACATATGATCTTGGTTTCATGTGTTTTTGAAAATGCTATTGTTTAAAAATGAAAAAAAATGAAGCATATCTGCTAAAGAGCTGTCAGTTTGCGTTACTGACACTAAAATACACTGTTCTTTGTGTACTGTGTGTTATTTTGCCAGCTGCTGCATTAGCCTTCACAAATATTTGGAAACCTTAAGATGAACTACATTTCTTTCAAAGTATATTTCTTTCTGTGGTATTTTCTGTAACTGAAGTATAGTAATTATTTTATGGAAATGTTAGCAATTCTGTAAAACTTTGAATAAAATGAAAAATTAAAATAAATGATTAAATGAGCTTTATATGTTTGTAGGTAATTAAAACACAAATATAGGATCGTTAAAATGCACCATCACTTATACTCTAGTCTTATAAAAGGGGCCATTTTTGAATTGTACATATTCCAGAAAAGTTACATGGAATCAGTTCCTAAGACTGGCTAAACTTAACTGAATCTATTTTTCCCATTTTTATCTTGAGCAGATATCGGATTAGGTAGTGAAAGAGGCAAAAATATAAAAGAGAAAATAATAATTCCATTGAATCCTCAAGTGACTGTATTGAGGCATTGAAAGCTAATTTGAATGCCGAGATTCAGGGAACTGTTCATTTGTGCAGTTACAGAAGGCCATTGATTTGAATTTTTCTGTAACAAATCTGACTGATGAGCAAAAGCCCTCGAACTTACTGGATTTATTCTGTACCCATCAGCTACTCCTTCCCTAACTTTTTTTTTTTTTTTTTTTGGCTCTTTTTTATAGGAAGAAGAAAATCTGTGAGCTCTATGCGAAAGTGCTAGGATCCCAAGAAGCTTTAGATGTAAGAAACTCCCAGCTTTAATCCCTAGCAGGTTCTTCTCTGTTCAGTATAAGTGGTAAAGCAAAGCAGATGCTGATTTTTTGACAGTCTTATGAAGGAGAGTATAAAGGGATATGCTTAACTTGGAAGATAAACTTCAGCAGTCACAAAAGGTCATTAAAAGCTGATATGAGGTGCCTGGATTTTCTGAGACAGCAACTCCTTTGGGCTATTTAAATGTTCACTAGATAACTGGCAGCCAATTGTAATCAGAGCCTATAGCTGAAGGCATTATGTCAAGAATGCGTGAGATGGGTTCCCGGAACAGTGGTCCTGCCCCCGACCAGTGTCACTTACCTGCTGCACAATTAAATTCCAGATATGGCATCATTTGTTGGTGAAGGCAAAGTAGTATGTACTTGACAAGATAGACTGAATCTAGAATCTCTTCCCAGGTCAAAGTCATACTAATTTATTTTTCCGTGTGTGAACTCGATTCACAACTCATTTAGGAATATCAGTGCTTGCAGTCCACCACTGAAAGCAATTAGGAGAATGAAATTACGTCTTTTTCAAACAAAAAATACCAATAGCTGGGGGCTCTTTCAGGGGTTTATCTCTGAGCTGTTCAAATAATAAAACTTTCTGAATGTGCCAGGGAAATTAGAGAAGGTTCTCACATGTCCCTTAGGAAACATCTTTCATATTAACATCTTTTCGGTGGAATTCCCATCATTCACGTGTCCAGCTTAGAGAAGCTGGTTGGGAAAAAAGCCTTTTTTAGACCTTTGTTCATCTTCTGCCTCCTCCCTCCTACCCTTTTCTCAGCAATAATGCCTGGTAGATGGGGAAGTAAACCTGTTATTAGAGACTCCAGAGATTTGAGCAGCCGAATCGTTAATGGGGTTTCCTGTACACTTAGCTCTAAAGACTTCAGAATCCGCTTCCCCTTAAATGAGTTAGAGAAACAGGATCTTCTTTATTTTCTTAATGTAAACTTTTTGTTAAAGTAAAGCAACGATACTGTGGGCTTGCAGCATTTCAGCTTTGTTTTCTCTTTGGCATTTTCTCCCCCAATGAACTACAGCCAGTACATTATGAAGAGAAGAACTGGTGTGAGGAGCAGTACTCTGGGGGCTGCTACACGGCCTATTTTCCGCCTGGGATCATGACTCAGTATGGAAGGTATGACCCAAGCACTACGCCAGTTAATCCAAGACCTGTGCCAAATTTAAAAGGAAATGCAGAGTTCAATGGAAATTCTAGAAATAGTTGTCAAAATCCCAATTTCTTATGTCACAGTTAACACTTGTATATTTCTGGATGTCCATAGAAAAATGAGGATGTCAGTACGTAGAAAAATAACTGTCAGCATACGGAACAATAGCAGAACACTGGGGAGAATTTCAGATGTGAACGGTGCTTGTGAGAATGAAGGAAGCTGCAGTGTCCTCCAAAGGGCCTTCATGAGCTCTGCTTCACAGTCTCATATGACCGCCTTAGGCTCCTTGGCACCAGTCAACACAGAAGGATATTGGACGTGTTTATCTAACACATCTGTCTTGCCAACAGAGCAGCATGGGACAGTCCTCTTCAGAAGGAGAGTTCTCACTGTATACAGTTGAGGTGTGAGGAAATGAGATCCACATGGGGTGGGGAAGTCCACCTTGACCTAGAAGCCCTTTGCTTCATGGGAACCATTATCTCTATGCCTCATAGCATAGTGTCTAGTAACTTGCTCATTTATAAGACTTGCTCAGTTACAAGAGACACCACACTCGGGGAAACCCAAAGTGATAGCCTCGTACCAGGTATTTACAAATCATTCAGAGTCTTCCCAGCTTGCATGGTTTCCTAACGTGGGTGGGGTGGAGAGGCACTTTTAGCATAAGTGATGTTGCCTCCACAGGTAGCATTACACCTTCATCTGGTTTCCAGAGTAACAGCTAGAAAGTTAACACAAGATCACATTTGTCCACCGAAAAGGAAGAAGTATTTGTTAACCTTTTTCTTACAGGAGCTTTGGTCTTTTTTCTTACTTGAATCAAATTGCCTTTGTTAACAATGGCAGGATTGAGGAACTAGATTTATTCTGGTTTCAAAGTAGAAGTCTAGAAGACAGGACTAAGATAAGGAATAGATAAAGCCCAGGGTAAGGAGTGCCAGTGGGTAGAGGTGAAGGTCATCAGGATGTGGGCAGAACGTGCAGCTTGGGAGAGTTCATGAAACTAGCTGTGGACATGGCAGGAGTCAAAGCCAAGAAAGCTGGAGGGGAGACCTGTCCATTGAGTCCAGCCCTTCTTTGGTTCTCTTTGGCAGGCCCTCTTTTTAAGGGGAGACCCATTTTGTTGCCCCCAGCCAGTCCCTAGAGAAGTTCAGAGAAGCTAACTGTACAGAGGTGGTGTTTTCTTAAAGAGGCATAACCATATAATCTCTCAGGTCTCTCCTTTGCCAGAAATGACAGTTAACCTCCCTGTCTTCCCACTTGCCACTGCAGTTCCACCTCACACACTGGGAATGCCTGCAAAGCTGGGTCTGTGACTGTTCTCAAAAAGAGAGCCCCCTCCCCTGAGAAGGACAGGATAGGGAGCAGAATGGACTACCAGCAGGAAACAGTAAAGAAATCTGATTTGGGGATTGAATGCATAGTCTTATATTCCAGCTCTGGCTGGCTTGGAAAAGGTCAGCATCACTTTTAGAGATTGATGATCTGACAGCCTGATTCTTCCTGCCTTGAAAGTTCGGATCTTCTATGCAGACCCAGGAAGCAGAAAGTGGCCTTTCACCTTGGGCTGAGGCATACAGGTGTTTTTTTGAACAGTCTAAATTTCTGTGCCTTCTGCAGACTAAATGAGGACAGTGGTTGGCTCATTTACCTTGCTCATCTTCCCAAGTAACTCTCTGCGACCTCTTGGTTCCCTTGAAGGGTGATTCGTCAACCCGTGGATAAGATTTTTTTTGCTGGCACGGAGACTGCCACACAGTGGAGTGGCTACATGGAAGGGGCAGTTGAGGCTGGAGAACGAGCAGCCAGGGAGGTAAGCAGGGAAGCCGAGACTCTCTCCCTCCTGAGTCATGGTGACGTTTTTGGCATCTGGTTTTGCTAGTCTTGACACTGATAGAATCTATATGTCCATTTCTCTGCACCTCACTCATGGGGCTCATCTGTGGCTAGCAGAGCCTTGAATCTGTAGAAACTATACAACCTCTTTTCATAATACCATGGTCACTTTCTTTCAGGTTTTAAATGCACTTGGGAAGGTTGACAAGAAGGACATCTGGGTACAAGAACCTGAATCAAAGGTAAGTTTGGTAGCCCTGGACACCATCTCTCCTTAGACAAATCATGGAACATAAAACTCACATCTCCCTTCTTCTAGCCTCTGATTTATTATAGATGCAACTATCCAAGGGATCTCCATGCATGGATCTTACAGATGTGTTTTGTTCCTCCTTGTCAACATGCGTTTTTTCCTCATGATCTGTGTTCCTTCATCTAGGATGTTCCAGCGGTAGAAATCACCCACACATTCTGGGAGAGAAACCTGCCATCTGTTCCTGGCCTCATGAAAATCGTTGGATTTACCGCATCAGTAACGACCTTAGGGTTTATTATGTACAAATACAAGCTACTGCCACGGTTTTGAAATTTCATGCATATGCCTGCTCACCTGTTTTCAATACCACCCAATGGTGGTATTGAAAATATTGGCAAATTTAAAGGCTGTGTCATTGGGCCGTTTTTAAGTGCACTCTATTTAACTACCTTTGGCTTAGTTCCAATCATTGTTAAAGTAAAAACAACTCAAATCACCTAATTAATTTCAGCAAGATCAAGCTCCATCTTATTTCTCTGTGTAAACCAACTCATGTTAATTGATAGAATAAGCCTTGTGATCACTTAAATTCAAAAAGTTAAAGGTGATTTGCTCATCAGAAACAATTTCTGTGTCCTGTTTTTATTCTCTTCAATGCAAAATGCCTGATGATTTCAGAAACAAAGCATTTGACTTTCTCTCTGTAGAGGTGGAATAGGTGAAGGCCCAGCCTGTGACTGTCCTTTTCCTTCCCTTAGGCGATGGTGAAGTGTCATTGCAGAACCTGGAGGCTCACAGCCTCCTGGAGGAAGCAGCCTCCACTTTGGATCAGGAAATAGTAAAGGAAAGCAGTGTTGGGGGTAGCAGCATGCAGACCCTCAGACCAGAATGGGGACATCTTTGTGGGCTGCTGCCTCAGGGATCTCCTGACCACTTCTAATTCCTCTGACTTTTCTAGACATCTAGGCTCAGTGCTCACTTATTTGTATGTTTTTGCTCTTTAACTTCTTATGGAGGAGCGTATTTAACTGAGTGAGAATGTTGAAACTGACTTGCTATGACTTACATGCAGCTTTCCAGTTGAGTAGAGGCAAATAGTGGCAGGACTGTCCCCCAGGACATCTCCCCACTTAGCTCTATGTGAGACCAACTGCAATCGGTATCTTCTCTTCCCCCTGGAAGGCAGCTAGACACCAAGTGATCCTTGCCAGTTACAACATTCTATTTCTACTCCAGGAAAGCAGCAGTTTTCTTTTCTTCAGGTGCCCCCTGGCTGTCTGAAGGCCTCTAGGGACATATGTTTTTTTTTTTTTCTTTTTTCCTACGTCCATAGAATTAGACACACCCCTCAACTTACGTAGGTCTTCAACATGGTTACCTCTGCATAAATATTAGCGTAGCATGCCAATTTCTTTTAAATAAGTACTGAAATACACATGATAAATTTGACTGTTATTTGTTGAGACTGTCAAACGGAAAAGAAATTAGGGCTCTAATTTTCTTAAAGTAAGCTCACTTGCTTTAGTTGTTAAGTTTTATAAAAGACATTTAATTGAGTCATTTTATACATGAAGACTAAGTTCTCTATCTTAGGAGTAATGTCAGCCCAGAAGGGTGCCCACCTCTTGTTTTCCCATATTAAAAACTCTGATTTTTAAAAGCCCTTTCCCAAGGTTTCAACCATAAAATACTTCTTTTTAAAATGTATCAATATATTTTTATTTAAGGGGAATTAATTGCCAGGGGAAACCAGCTAACCCAAGTTTATTATATCATTTAACCTTATGAATTCAAACCTAAGTTGCTGGACCCTGGTGTGAGCACATAAATCTTCCAAGTTTTGCCTATCCCAAGAGCTGGAGTTTTCTGCTGCTCTTTACCTTGCATTTCAGCTAATTTAGGAGTTTTGAGACTGTATTGCAGGCGTCCCCAAACTACGGTCCGTGGGCCGCATGCGGCCCCCTGAGGCCATTTATCCGGCCCCCCGCCACACTTCAGGAAAGGGCACCTCTTTCATTGGTGGTCAGTGAGAGGAGCACAGTATGTGGCGGCCCTCCAACGGTCTGAGAGACAGTGAACTGGCCCCCTGTGTAAAAAGTTTGGGGACGCCTGCTGTATTGGATGTGCTCTGGTACATAAGGAGTTGCCACATATTCTATCAAACTGCTTTGAGAAATCTTTTCCCTAATCTATTGCAGTTGTTTCTATTATCTTACTGATTAACTCAGTCCTGACACACCTTTCAGGAAATGCTGATTTAAACTCCTTAACTGGCAACAGTTTGAACAGTATTCAGTTTGCTAACATATTTAAGGTCTTGAATGTTGAAGAACTCATAAGTATGTGATTTACCCTTTTCAACTTTTTGGAACACCATTTGATTTATTCTAATTAGATTAACCCTATTAATCTACGGATTGGGTATCAAAATGAAATCCAGTCCAGATGTGCCTAAACAAGAAATTGGAGCTGAGAACTCTCACCATATCTGGGTTCATCCAACATGAAGATACCATAAGCCTTGTCTCTGAACCAGAGATATGAACGTCACTTTTAGAGACTGACAGATCTTGGCCCTGTTAAGGCATCCACTTTACAGTTTTGAAGACCGAGTCGGCCTCACTCCAAAGTTAGGCCAAGAATTAGATTTTAAGACTTTGTCTGTCACAGTTAACTGTTAAGTAAGACCTCATACTCCACTGAAGAGTATGGATTCAAGGATTGTGAACAGTGTTTAGTCTGATTGTGAACTTGGTGCCTAATATTCCATGTCGAAAATTTGCCCCAGTGCTACATATTGGGGTATACCCATGTGTGTGCTTTGCCACTGAAGATTTTGCCTGTATGGTTCTGTTTTGTTTGTTAATAAAGTGTAGTACTGTCCCCAATACAGACTCGACTCCTGTATTCAGTTGATAGCTCAACGCAGAAAGTTCAATGGCTTCTTATAGCAAGAGGTCTCAATGAGGCATTTTCCACAGAGGACGGACTTAGGAAATCATTTTTGATATCGACTACAAATTCTCAAAGTTGAGTTCGACTCTCATGTGTTACTGAGGTTTTCTGGGAACTGATTAAATGCTGCAATTCTGTAGCCTGCCTGATTGGGCCACAGATGTGCATTCTGGTCCAAGTTGTCTCACCTAATTAGCTTATGATACGTTGGGCAAGTCACTTTGGTTCTCTCGATCTTCACATCTGGAAAAGGTTGGATTGCATTAGATGGCTTCTAAGCATTCTTTTCATGGCAGCATAATGTGATCTATGCATTTTGTTGCCAGTACTGTATCTATTTTTGCCTATTGGTATGACGGGGGCAAAAAATTCAGTCTTTCTGTACCCTGGTTCCCTCCTTGTCCTAGATTGGGTTCTCCGGAAACAGACTCTAAGATACAGAGTCAAGGCAAAAAGTTCATTGGAGACAGTCCTCAGGAAATATACCTAAGAGGATGAGGAAGGCAGGATTGGGCAGGAGAGTAGACCTACAATGCAGTTGCAACTACAGATTCTAATGAGGAGCTAGGAAGACCCTTCAGAATTGTCCCTCATTGAGAACAGGAGGTCTGGACTCTGTGACCCTTTATCAGCCTCCCCCTGAGGGAGGGTGCTACCCTGGGTGAGGCCGGTTCAAGGACAATTCCTAGTGAGGAATTGTAGCTGTGAACTTCGACCAGCCTGTATTCCCTGCAGATCCAGGGCAGAGTGCTGCATTATGTACTTTACTCTCATAGAAAATAGGGAGTTGCCTTGTCATGTAAAAGACATTGTGGACTTGAGCTTTGGCTTTATAGATAGAATGGAGCTCTCTCTGGTAACCTATCCCTGTTAGGTAAGGTAACTTCTTTTAGAAGGTTGGATTTCTGCACTACTTATATAGAAGAAAAAAAATCAGAATTAGAAAAAGCCCTAGAGCCAGGCGCAGTGGCTCAAGCCTGTAATCCCAGCACTTTGGGAGGCCGAGGCAGGCGGATCACAAGGTCAAGAGATCGAGACCATCCTGGTCAACATGGTGAAACCCCGTCTCTATTAAAAATACAAAAAATTAGCTGGGCATGGTGGGGAGTGCCTGTAATCCCAGCTACTCGGGAAGCTGAGACAGGAGAATTGCCTGAACACAGGAGGCGGAGGTTGCGATGAGCCGAGATCGCGCCATTACACTCCAGCCTGGATGACAAGAGCGAAACTCCATCTCAAAAAAAAAAAAAAAAAGAAAAAAGAAAGAAAAAAGCCCTAGAAATGATTCAATCTCTGTCTCAATGAAGGAGCCCCATCTACAGAAAACTAACAGAAAGATCAAAGGGGGAAATAAGCATTTATAAAGACAAGTCCTAAATCCAATGTCTTCAGGAGTTGAGCAGCTTAAAAATCAACAGCAGCAGACATGAGACATTAGGGACTATTGAGGACTGGCTGACTTAGGAAGTATGTACCCTTCTAAAAAGCATTTCTATTCAAATTCCTTGAAAAGAGTGCTGACCAAATAAAAGACATTCGAGCCAGGTGCAGTGGCTCACACCTGTAATCCCAGCACTTTGGGAGACCTAGGCGGGCGGATCATGAGGTCAGGAGTTTGAGACCAGCATAACCAACATGGCAAAACTACATCTCTACTAAAAATACAAAAATTAGCCCAGTGCGGTAGTACATGCCTGTAATCCCAGCTACTTGGGAGGCTGAGGCAGGAGAATCACTTGAACCAGGAGGTGGAGGTTATAGTAAGCCAAGATCGTGCCATTGCATTCCAGCCTGGGCAACAAGAGAAAAACTCAATCTCAAAACAATAAAAATAAAACACATTTATTTGAAGGCTTGGTTCACATGTCCAAGTTGTCTTCAAGTCCTTGATAAAGAAGTACAAAGTTTGGTTTTGCATCACTTAAATGACAAATTCTTTTTGGATGTCTTTGATTTTCTGAGAAACAAGCACAAAGACCAGCAACCATTTTGTAAAACTACCTACAGTGAGAAAGAGAGGCCTGGGTTGGAAGGGCAAAAAGACAAGAAAAACAAAGACAGAAAAAAAGTCTTTTTAGACCAGAAATCTCCCTTAAGAAATTACCCTCCCCCAGTTCAGCATACCACGGCAATGTTTATCTCCTGCTATGGCAATGTTACAGTTGATGAGAGTGGTGTCAGACTTTATTGGAAAAACTGCGTATTTGCAGTGAGATAGAATCACTGCTCTTCAGTTCACATTTATTCTGTGCTATAATTTCAGCAAACAGGATGTTAACATTGAGCGTATTAAGATTTTCAAACTATACTCCTTGCTTACACTGACGTGTTGGTAAACATGCAAGGCATGTCCCGTAGCCTAAGGAAGCTGACTGAGACATTAGAGGAAGAGGATGACAACAAAGGAAGGTACTAGGTAATAGTAACAGTTCTTTCCTCTATCGGAGCCCAGGGCTTGGTTCTCTTCCTTGATCAAGGCCATTCTCTTCAGAGTTTCTTAAAGTGACAGATGGTGTGAACTGGTTATCTCAGCCTGGAGCCAAGTTTCTGAAAAGTAGCTTTAGAAATCTCATGTGAAAAAACTGGTTTATGAAAACTTGCCGTTCATTCAAGGGTGGGCTGTGGGCCCTTCAAGTAAGAACCCGCCTTAATGCACATGTGATCCATAAAA